ACTTTTGAGCAGTGGTATATATATATATATATATATATATATATATATATATATAAATATAATGGTGAAATAATACAATATTAGTATCATGTAGTACATATACACCTTTTTATATTTTGAACTTGAACGACTTTTTTTTACTAAGTCAGAATCATCAGAGATTTATCAGTCAAAATTATTTTCTAACAATTAAAATAAAAACACAAAGTGACCCAATACTAAAATGGATTGCCTGATCCTGGATCCAAGGGATTTCCACATCTGGACTTTCTAATTCAGATTCAAACTTTTGATCAACTGGGAGTCATAAGATTCAAAATTCAAAATTTATTTAGGCCATTATTCATTGATAATCTGCAACTCCACCTTCAGCTGTTGAAAGCAACGACTGCATCAGTAAGTGAGAAGAACCAAATTAATTCTATTTGTGAAGGAATCATTTACATCAGTCTTGTGAACTGGATCAACTGATTAATTAAAAAAGATCTGAGTCACATAATGTAGAGCAGTTTTATAGCTGAATCTTTTATAACTTTAAAACATCTGTTACTGAACTGAATAAACATTTAACAACATTAAGCTAAATAATGACGTACTGCCTTCTGTAGAGCTGCTTATAGCTGAATTGAACTTCATAATTCATCAACTTTGCACTGTTATTGAACTGAACTGAATCAACACTGAGCTGACTTGAGCAGAATGATGACACTATTGTCTTCTGGAGAGCTGCTTTATAGCTGAACTGAGTTTGTTTCATAACTGACAAACTTTGCAACACTGACACTGTTAATAACTAAATTGAATCAACATTGAACTAAACTGAGCTGAAAAATAACACCATTGTATATTTTAGAGCTGTTTTAAGGCTGAAATTGAATTTGCTTCATAATTAATTTTTTTTGCAATATGAACTGTTATTTTTCCTGTTATTTACAATGACGCTTTTTTTATATATAAATAATCTGCATTGTATAAGGTGCTTTATAAATAAATGTTACTTGACTTCTGTCATTGCAAATGATTCATTTACAAATCAGAAATCACTACTTCTGTGGCAATAAAAGCTAGGGTGTATATCATGCTTTTCTGTGAATAAAGGCTTAAATTAGTCTGTTTGTCACACAAATATATTCCTTTAACTATATTATTAAAGGACTTTGACTATATTTTTAACTCTGTATTGTATATCCCTTTCAAGGTGGTGTGCGTGTAGGGTTGGATGGGTGTATGTGTGTGTGTGTGTGTGTTATATATTAGCAAAAGTAAAAAAAAATAAATAAATCTTGTTACATTGTCAAACAATGTACTGTTGCATTGGCCAAGCCACTATTGTCAAGGTATAATTTTGATTCAATTTAAAATAGAAGTACAATACATGTGAGAAAGTAATGCAGTGCTCATCTTAAAATTCTCTTCAAATGTTCTCTAGAGTAAGTATGGCATAGCCATATTCACTTTCAAATGTAATTCGCTGTATGACTCCTTGTTTACATTCATATAATATGCATAACTTTGGTTACATCTTTTTAAAATTACACAAAAGTTTCCTAATCATAGACTGTTATCCCACAGACCACAGTTCACCACATCCCTTTAAAGATTGAAGCCCATGAAGCAACACACTTCACGCCCACAGCCCAACACACTACACTCTTCCCAAAAACACGACAATATTACGGAACCCTCTGTGTGTCCATTTGTGAGGGAGTATGTGTTCGTTTTTGACCGGTTGTGCAATTCGCGTTGCACTTTATCAAAAACCCACTGCCTTGTGTGCGCATCCTGTGACATTGATGCTAGGCCCACAACATTCAGTAGTGTGTGATTTTATCAGAACACCACATACATAAAGTTGCTGGTTCAAACCCCAAATGGGATGAATGATTACCAGTTACCATTGTGCCCATGAATAAGGCACCTAATTTCAGGTTGTCCCAGGAAGTATATCTCTGCAATAAGAGAACTCCCAGTAGCACAGTGTAAAAGTGTCAGCTAAATAACAAATCAGTACCGGTAATTAGAGAATTACATAGGTGGACTTTAACATTTGAAAGTAATGAAGCAGAGAGTTTTTACCACTTCAATCAATTAGTTCATGAAATTTCATTAAGAGAAGGTCAGTTTACTTGAAGTGGAGCTAAGTGATCAAGTGCTCCAAATATATGCTTTAGTAATAGTGGGTGGCGGTGTGATGTTTTATATTTTAATTAACCATCTAATGTCTATTTGTTGATAATTTAGGGAAGTTAGGGAATACTTAATTTTATCCATCCAGGGTGATTCCCTGCTTTTGGCCTAAGACACAGGAATAGGCTCCAGCATCCCCTTGACCCTACATAGTGGAAACATTTGACTATTATGTTAATGGAAATGTATAAGGCGATGCAGCACTGGTACCCAGCTGTTCTTGCGGCCAGCGTAGATCTCCATACTGTGCCCATAGTTGGGGTCTTCCAGCAGGCTGCCATATTCAAAGAGCAGGCGGGAACTGTCACGAAGCCGCTGGCACTGGTACAGATGATACTGCTGCAACAGCTCTTTCACCAGCTGCAGGAGACACTCCGGTTTACCCGCGTCCCACGACACCAAGTGCTGCCGGAGGAGAGAAAGAGAAAGAGAAAGAGAGTGGGAGTCAGCATTTTATTACAAAAAAAAGAGTAGATTGGGAAAACAGAAACATCTAGCACTTTTCAGCCCACTTTTAAAGATTTTGTGAAGCACACATACTGAAATAATAATAAAAAAAAAACTTATTGCACAAACATATTACGTGAAAAATAATAGCTTGGAAAGGTCAAAGTTACCATGAAAATCCATTCACAACTAATTTTATTTCTGTAACATGATATATTTCAGTTTCATTATGGCTATTTAAAAAAAAAAGTACAGTAGGTAATTGATTTTATCCATCAGGAATTGATGGAATAAAGTGGGCATTCAGTAAACATACAACTCTGTTGACACCCATTGGTTGAAACTTAAGTGGCTTTGGTAACATCAGTCAAATAGGAAAGTAATTTCAGAAGAACAGGAATGTGTATTATGATTGCAAATATGGTCAATTTTAATTCATTTTGCCTTTAAAGTTAAAGTGTGAGTTTTCTGTGCCACAAAACAGAAATAAATTCTGTTTTATAAAGAAAAAAAAAAAGGTATTCTAAAAATTCCCCCATCTACCATGGTTTAAACAGATAGTCCCGCCCCACCTCATGCCATTGGCTGAGACCATTTAATGTCAGGGCCGCTTAAAGTAAATTGTGATGGCTTTTTGAATAAGAAAAAAAAAGAAAGGTGGCACTTGATAATATTTATATTAACGATTATGAGAAAACTTTGTTTTGAATGATGTGCATGGAAAAATAATTTAAATAAACTACAAAATTCCCTTAAAATAAGAATTTTGATTTCACAGTGACTTTAAACAGTATTCATACAAGTATCCAAACTTTTGAGTGAAATAACCTGAATACATGTACCATGCTTTTGGCATATAACAATAAATAGTTTCAGTGTACAACATGTTGCTAGAACCTTAAACTAGCTTTATGAATCATCAAGTTATCAAAAAATCCTCTTTGAACGATGCAAGGGTGTTTCATATGGAATACACATTAAATACAGACTGTAAGTGTAGACTGGAAAAAACTTTTAGAGATAAGGAAAAAAACAATTAAAGGCAATTAAAAGTCAGGTGGCAGTTTCTAAAGTGCTGAGCCGGGGCCTTATAACCCTTTATTGTCAAAATGTCAACTTGATGTGGTGGTTTCCGCCCCTTTGCACTCCCCCTCCCAACCATCTTGAGGTGGCAACACTACAGGATATCCTGCACCGGCAGGGACACTTTCATCTCCTAACTCTACGCACTCCAAGTCCAGAAGCCAAAAGACGATGAATTCCAGCTCCATTTCTTGCTAAGGCAATGTGCCACAAAGCATGGGAAGTTAAGCCACTGAAAAAGAGGAAACACTGTTCTCACACAGTTCTCAGATAAGACAGTACAAGACCTTGAGTCTGTGCCATATGTTTAATGCATGCAGGGAACAATGGTTTGGTAAGAAAACTAGATTTTTGAAGGTTCAGACGGCAACCGAGCACAGACTATTTCCAGTCTCTCTTACTGCAAACACACTGCTATTAGGGAAAGAAGTGAGTTGAGTGGGTGTATGCCCAACACAGAGTTTGCATTGCCATGTTCTTGCGCACTGCGTGAGTGGGAAAAGGCCTGCATGCCAACATGGTCTACTTGCCTTTCCTCCTCTCCTCCTACTGGCTGACCTCATTTGCATAGGTGATCCCAATTTGCATGAGATTCCCTGACTGGAGCAGTGCACAGGTATGCAAATTAAGAGTGAGGGGGCAAAAACCAAATTGCCACCTTTTCACGAAGTGTTCCACCATTCTTTTCACTGGCCTAATTCTACCCAACAGCAGGTTCTGTCTGCGAGGCCCAATTGCTTGTTGATGCGTAATATGTACACAAGTTGAAATTAAATTTTACTGACATTGACTGAAAATAAAATGCAGAATATAAATTTATGCAAGCAAGTAAATAAACATTACATGTATCTCGTTTAAAGAACAGTTCCTTGTCAAGGGTTAAGAATAAGACAAATAAGTATTCCTGTCATTGCGAGGCACAAACAAACACAGGCTGTGTTAAAATGAGTTTGTCAAACACTGTCTTGGATTTTTAAATGATCGCAATGCAATTTCGGCTTGATTTTCATCGCTCCCATGAATCATTCCATCTACAAGCCTGATTGAGTCACATACGAGCAGAAGAGAAGAGAGGGGACAGAGCACGGCGTCTGTCCACTGAGGCACACATTACACAACTTATTAACAGCACAACCCACAGCATACAGTTGAGCTTGTTACATTTCTTGGATCAAATCAAAGCGTCTTTTTCTCTTTAGTTAATGGAAAAGAGAGGAAAAAACGGAAAGGAAAGATAAGAGATGAGCACTTCACCCATGACCAGGAATGATGATCAGGGAAAGAAGTGTTTGTAGGGCAATCAATTCAGGAACCCAAATATATATATATATATATATATATATATATTTATTTTTCTCTTTCTCAGTAATGGTAAACTGGTTGGGAGTCATGGTTAGCACACATGCTCTGATACATGATCACTGGTGCTCAAAAAGGCAACATCAGCATCCAGCTCATGACATTCCTAGTTCCTGTTCCTTCAGTTATTTCCTGAACTTGCCAAAAATTTGTTTTGTGTATGAGTGTGTCTGTTTAAATTTTGTGCAAAAAATTGAGAAAAAAATGGGGGTGGGGCGACTCAAAAAGTCCTTCAAATTGATAATCAGAATTTCTGTGAAATTTCCTTTTAGCCAACTTGTATCTAGGTTCATTCTGGTATAGGATGCCTACATTTCTAATCCAAATTTCAATGAATACCATTCAGGATATTCACTGAAAAATTTGTGCTACTGATACAAATCCCGTTTCATGTTGACTTTAAGAAACACTTCTCAATGTTTTATTGAGTCATGGGCTAAACAGTTATCTTTCCCATCCTGGTTAAGAATTACAACACCCTAAAAACTGTTCCACTGTTACAGAATTTAAAATTCTTTACAGGATCAGGGGGTCAGGTGAAAGTCAACGTTTCCACATACGAGGAGTGGTTTTCTGGATAATGTCTTAACTTTTTACTTTAAAAATTAGATGACATCATTGCCCAGCATCACTCCCCTTGGTAGGGAGTAAGACGTGTGTGAAACAGTTATTAGACTGCCATTATTCATCACATCAATACAGGGTGGATATCTGCTAAAGATAAAGATAAATAGTAGATATACTGTGGTCACCTATGCTACAAAGATCAACAACAAGGGGCACAGATTTCCAGACACAAATCAGTCAGATCCATATTTACAGGATCTTCATTTTGAGATCAACAAGAACATTTCTGTTACAATGTCATTTAAGCCTAAACACACCAAGTGATTCTCCATTAACAAATACTGTGAACTGAACACTGAACACTCAACCTTGGTAACCAAGGGATTGTCCAAGATGGCGCACTTGACGAGGACGCTCTAGCTCATATCTAAAAATTCCATGACCACAACGGTTGTCTTTTGCAAAGTCTCCAATGTTGTGGATTTTACAGCAGATATCTCAACAGTCTATGGATCATTACGTCACCAAAATATGGACTTGGAGAACTGGAGAACATCTGCAGGACTCAAAAAATGTTGCAATGATTATTTAGGGAAAACCTTCACAAGTTATAAAAAAAATAATAATTAACTAAAGAAACAGATAAACATGCATAAAGTCTTAAAATGACAGCAGCCGAATATACTGTAGCTGTTGACTTTAACGTTAATCAAACAACAAAAGAAAAAGAGAGAATCACTCACTGCTCTTAACTGAATAACTTTTGGAGCTTTAGTAAGGATCAATGTAAGTTCATCTGATACAGTGGAGACTATGCAGTGCTTTATTTTACGTTTGATTACTTTATTAAATTTCAGTTTTTCTTACTTGAATACTACTGTTAGACTGACCTACCTGAAAAACTTAAAGCACTGTTTAATCCATTTGTCCTTTGTCATTTGTTTCTTACTTCAGACTTATACTAGGCTGGTATTACTTTTATTAATTAGTATCAAGAATTGGCATCTAAAGTTTCAAACTTTTAAGATTTTGGTTATATCACCCATCCCTTCTATTAACACACTTCTATTAACACACTGTAACATGATCAGAGAATCACAAGAAAGCCAAAGCGCATTCTGACTTTGCCACGTCAGTGTGTTTTGAAAGAATTCTGAATGACACATTTTATATGAGAAGCATGACAGTTGTGTGAAGTACAACCTCTCATTTGACTGCTTTTCACAAATACTGAGTATAAATGACCCCAGAAAACATCCGAGGCATTCAGCAGCTAAACCCATGCCAGCAACACTATGAACCAGCTGATGATGACATAACCACAGTGGTTCACATACACAAGCCATCTCCATTAGCCACTTTTATCAGTCATTGCTCTATTTTAAGATCTATCTGTTCTGAGATCACGAGGGTCAAATGTCAGAGTTATTTGCATGCCACATCAACAAGAAAGAGTTAAGCACTGAATGGTTAGAAAAGATGACAATAACAGTCTGGTTTCTCAGTCCGACCTCTGTCCGTCTGGCCACTTTTCTGTACGTCTCTCTATAGATCAGTCTGAGCAAGAAGAAAGGTGCCATTGTTTTGGAGAGGGAAGGGCTCATCCTTTCTGCCGGGAGAGGAAGCTGGGGCAGAGGCAGGACGCTTACACCAGCAATGACCTCATAGTCCTGGGCTGCCTACGGTTACCAGCAACAACAGGATTCCCGTAATGAGTGGGCGACAGAAAACAAGTTGGATATTGTTTAGGTATGTTTTAGGATGAAGCAATGAACAGCCCGAGGAGAGTTGAGGATGAAGAAAACGAAGGAAAGCTGGCTTGAGGAATGTGCTGTGTCAGAGGAACTGTGTTTAAACTAACCAGGGCCCCCGGAGAGTCTTTTCCACTTTGTGCTCCCCAGACAATACAATCGAGACAGCAGTCGGTCGCAAAATGCTAGATACGTGCC